GTGAAAAGTAATAAATTTAATTCAAATTAATAGCAATGAATCACCACATTTATGTTAACAATTTTAAGTAATCTTTAAATGGATTTTAAAGTACACATTATATTAATCGAAAAGACATCCCCAACTAGTATCCCATTTCAAATATTTTCAATAACAGATATTCGATTTTTTCTTACATTTCCCATAATAAAAATGTAAAAATAAAACATACTCCATAACTATCAAAGCTGTTACAATATGTATAACGAAAATAGTATTTCTCAAATTGTGTTTGCTGCAGATTTGAATGGATTGTTATTAACATTGTTGCTCGCAGTTGCATTGTTCATTTTTATTGCACTTGCAAGTGTTTCAAGATAAACACATTCGGTGAGTAACTAATAACTATTAATAGGATGCTATTTCTGATTTTTCTCGCCAATAAAAGTTTAAACACATGACATGAACAATCGGCTGAGTGCAAAAGCACAGTAAATGTCGAAATCTTTTATCTTACAGAAATCTCTAAGCAATTGACTAGCGCTGTCTTTACACTTACATATTGATATGTATTTATATATTCTCTGCCATGGCAAACTTCAATTAGTTTGCTAATGCGACAACAACGGCAACAAAACAGAAGAGGGTATAAATGAATGCTGGCAAATTTATGAATGTTTATTAGTCGCTGGGTGCGCTGCCAATTGAGGAAGAGGTGCAGCAAGCAGCCTCATTGCCTCACTCATACTCCCAATCTCAATCTCAGTCATAGTCACCGTCTCAGCCTTAGCTCCTATTTAATTTGCCCCTGCTTACTGCCAACAGCAGACAGTCATGTCCATCTTTGGCTCTTCATCAGCTCTGAGTACGCAAATTGGCAATCAGTCATCCAAGAAAAATCATTTTACATGTCCCACTCAGCATTGCGCCTAGAAAACGGTGTCTCTTTTGATACCCTATACTATTAAAATGGTAAATAAAATAAAGTTTGTTAGGACTTGCCAAATTCTTAATTAATTAAAGTCTCAATTTATAATTTGCCAATGGTCTAATAAGTTTAATGTTAAATTACGCAATAACACTTGGCTGTAGGTCTGCAAAAAACATATTCATATTCATCCAGAAAATATAATTATTTTTCTAATAAAACTGGAACTTTCTGCAATGCATTGCATACATATATCATTGTATATCTTTTAGTTCATGCTTGATCGATGAACTACCCATGTACAGGGTATCTGTTGGCCCAGCACTCGAGTCTGCACGTTCTACACTTGTTTTTATTTTGAGCGGGACGATTCTGAAATGTGTTTTTTTGTGTGGGTGTTAGGCGAGAGGGGCTGGGCCCCGAGAAAACTCGGAAACACTATAACCCGATAAATGAGGCACTTGCAGTTGAATTGTTGTACAGTTGTTAATAGGCCCCCACCTCCCCCCCCCCCCCCCCAAAAAAAAAGTGACCCAACGCTGCAGTCGTAGCTGAGTGGATGCAGCTGCTATTTATGGCCAAGTTGAAGGCGACGACGTCATAAAAATGTTGTGTCCAAATAGATACTTTATTTTTGGCCGACTGGCGTAATGAGTTTTCATTTTTCACCAAACACACCGCACTGATGGCTACAGGTGGCATATACCCAGTGCTACACCAAGCCCCCTCATCAGCTGAAGCTACCCTTATACACCGTGCGACACAATGTCGACTTATCAATCCCAAATTGAAAACAAACTGAAATTAAATTGCAACTTAAAATCGTTTTGTCAGTTTCAGTCAAATACCAAAAACATTTACAATTCTAAGTGTTTGTATGTTATTTTAAAAATATATATCTTTAAGCAATGCAGAACAAAGGTGGCTGAGTGATATTTTTATTATTTATATTTGATTCAAATTAAGACATAACTGAATGCAACTAAATACATTCAAGAAATATTGAATAGGTATCAAAAGAAATTTGAATTGAAGGTGAAATTGCTTACGGTGTAGAATTGCTCACCTTCCTGATGGTCTGGCAAATAAACAAACACTCGTAAATGTGCACATCGTGTGAAGGCTTTTAAAAATAGTCCTCGGCATAGTGTTTTGCATGGCCCAAAACTTTCACAAATGAGGCAAAGTTCTATTTTTGGTATTTATCGGCTGTATCTGTATCTGTAGCTGTATCTGTTTGTATCTGCCAGATAACGGCACGTAATTCGTAATTCCGCGCCGTCTGTTCGAAATAAACAAAAACAAAAAAAAAGAAAAAAATAAAGAAAAAAAAAAGAAAACTTTGCCGACGTCAAAAGTTGCCAATTGTATCGGGTTTATTTTTAGGTCATGGCGTGCTGCTCAAGCTCCAAACAGAATATTGGTTTTGTGTTTTGTGTTTTGGTTTTGGTTCAGACCGGCAGCCGGCCGGCCTATTTGCTTTGGGTCATGGTCACCCTAATGCACACTTCCAAATTGCACTTTGCGGTTCAAACTCGTAAATAAATTACATTTGAACATTTTACTTGAGTTGGCTGCGTTTCAATAAATTCGCGCTAAAAGTTTTTGGTTTTCCTTTTGTTTATATGGCATTTTGTTTATGTTTCGTTTTGTGCAACAATGCGGCATGCACTTTGTTGTTGCTGTTGTTCCTTTGTTTATGCCGCCTGATGTGCAACCTTGTCCTTAACACATGAGAACTGTTTTGGTTTTGGGGAAAATGTGCGAACTAAAATATTTGGCAAATGTCTGTCAATGTGTGCGGGGGAGGGAGGTAGTAGGGAGGTTAGTAGGGAGGTTAGTAGGAAATGTAGAAATGTTTTATGTGGCATGGAATTTTGACAAGCGCTGCCCAGTGCATAAGCTAATACAAAATGCGGAATTATAAATTTGGTATTTTTAGCGTAAACAAAATCTAAGATTATTCAACTTTTCATGTCAGTTTCAAATGTGCACTAATACATTGCATACAATTTATCTGCCATTTATTTAAATAAAACGTTTTAATATTAATAATATAGCTAAATTAATTTAAAAGACTAGATTATTAACTAATTTTCTAATAATTCCTGTCAATCGAAAAACAACTTAATACTTTGTTTTAATAAATTCGCCCAAAATTTAAAAAAAAAATGTTCCTTTTTTGCTGTCGTCTATCCAATATTATATATAAAACTTCAACTATTCCTTGCCTCATAAAAAATTAACTTAAATATTAATTAATAGTCAATATTAAAACAAAATTATGATCAATAATTTTCGAAGCTTAATACTGAGCTGAAGTCTGGAAAATTCACTTAAAAGTTACTCAAAAAAATAATATAGTTTTACAGTAAAAATCTGAAAAATTGTAAATAAATTAACAACTATTTAAATTCTCAAGTGAACCTACCACGATTTATTTTAAACAAACAAAATAGCTCTAAATTTCCAATCATACCCTGTTCAAAGTTTTCCATACCATACATTCAACACAACTGAAACACACCCCGATTTTTATTATGTGTACCAAGTATTACCTTCCTTGACCCAGCCAAGTGAAAATACCTCTATTTCCGGCAGACAATTTCCTTGACCCAGCCACCCAACGCAGATATAGAAATAGTTTTCAACACGATCTAAACAAATCGGACAGTTCTCGAAATCAAACTGTCCATAAATGGTCAAGTGAATCATTTGTTTAAATTCTATTCATTCCTTCTTTTTCATTTTTCTTCTTTTTTTTTGGTTTTTGGTTTTTGGCGTGGTTCCTACATTGTGTTTGCGTAGATTGAAAAGTTAATGGGCGCATATGAACGTTGATGACGTATTTTGGGAAATCATAACACAACACACACACATGCACACATCGAGAGAGAGGGAGAGCACATCGACTGGGGTACCTGTTGTCTTATTTTTACCTCAGAGCCCCCTTTCGATGAGAAAGAAAGAGAGTCGAATGCCGCTGAGAGATCGGTTAAGCAAAACTCACCACAGCTCACGCACACACACACAGAGCACACACACACATAGGCACGTCAGACAAACGGGCCTGGCAAACTGTTGATTGGCTGCAGTGCGCGTGCGCCACGAAAATGGCTGCAACGTAGGGAGGCAACAAGCCATACGATTGGATACGCTGACCGACCGGTTGCTAGCGACTACATTAGTGTGTGCATGTGTGTGTGCGCTGTGACGTGCGAGTTCCCCACGACGGCGGCGCTCTCGTTTCGATATCGAACTGGCCGCCGCTTATGCTTTGGGGCGCGTGCCAGTCGCTGCCAAGTAGGGGTAATGTCTATGTGGCTCCTCTCGCATACTCTCTCTCTCTCTCTCTCTCTGTCTGTGTGTGCTAGCCAGCTGCGTGTGCATATGGGTGTGTGTGTGTGTGGTTGCTGTGCCGTGCCGATGTTGAGTTTTCATTCATAAAAACCGAAAGAGGGCGCATCTCGTGTCTCAGTTGGGTTCGAACAAGCAAACGCGACGGTTTGAAAACTAAACAGCAACAAATTAAAAGAAAAATTTTTAAAGAAAAATCAAATTCAATTCAAACGTACACAACTACACACATATATATAAAAGAAAAGAAAAAAAAAATATATATATATATATAAATATATATACAAAACAAATATTGTGCAAAAGAAAAAGTGTCATCGATAAATGTGAAAAAAACAACAACAATTAAATTAACTTTGCTCGCAAATAGAAACGCACAAGTGAAAGAGAGTGAAAGGATATTTTTGCAAGACTTGGCGACGGCCGCTGTGCGAAAGCTTTGCTCCTCAACACCCGCCGCCCCCCTCCAACCACCCTCACTAACGAAACATCTCCCACTGTTCAAACAAAAAGTTAATGAATGAAAATCGTGCAGTAAACGGTGACTGTGACGTATGCGCAAATAAAGCATACACAAAATATATATAAAAAATATACACAATTACAGTTAAAGGCCGCCATACGATAAAAGATGTTAACTTAGGCATTCTGCGTTGAATTCGTATATTGATTCTACGTAGTGGCAGTGGCAAGTGGCAACATTTAAAAGAAAAAGTGCACAGTGTGTTTGTGTGTGTACACGTGTCTGTGTGTGTGTGTGTGTGTGTGTGTAAGTGAGGCAGCAATCCAAAGGATTGCGCTAGACTAAAGGGAAATCTACCTTTGAATTCTTCAGCACGTGCCATTGCGATCCAGGTGATTAACTAGTGAATTTAATATATAAATTAGACATACATATATTTAAATACTGTTGAGCTATCTATCTATAGATACGTCTCTTTAGATTTGATTTTTAGTTTAGCGGAAGTCATAAAATAAATAAAAATATTTGTCACATTTTTAATTTGTGCAAATAACTTTTTGTTGACACAAGCGAATTAAATTTTTTATTAAAAAAAGTTCACCGATTTAAGTATAGAACTGGAAATTGAGATAGTAAATTTTTTTAACTAATTTGTTTTTATGCTATTTAAGTCAGACAGTAATCTCGAAAAATATGGTAAACATAATTGAGTATTTAAGAGACGTATAAATTTATTTACTATATATTTAAATAATTTAAGAGCAAGTGTCTAAGCCCATAATATTGATTAACAAATCAAACTAATGTCATTGATTTTAATTCAGAACTTAAGCTTCTGGTTGATTTATGTATTTCACCGTCAGCTTAATTTATTTGAAACAGAGAAAAAAAAGTTGAAATATCAGCTTTAATTCAAAATCAACGAGCATTAAATAAATCTGATGTCAAGTAGAAAATCTTGTTTTCAACGGAATTATATAAAAAGACTAGACAGCAAATAAGTTATTTGATAACCTGTGCCATTTTTCTTAATATCAGTTCAATTTTATTATGTTTATTTCAACTAAAAAATATCTTTTCACTTTCACTAATCCAAATGAAAATATGATCAAATTCTTTCCACTCTTCGGCTCCCACTGATCTCAGTAAATCTCTTCCTGAATGGGCTTTCTTTTGAGCAAATCCCAAAATTTTGCTCATTTTGAAACGATGCGAATGATGCATAAATTCATTTAACGCATAATAAAATTGTGTGCAGGTTATTAAACAGCGCAGCAAAATCACAGAAACACAAATCGAGAAAAGAACCATACCTGCAACTATGTACGATATTTCTGGGCATCATCATACGCATCAGCTGTATATATTGCAATTTTGTAATTAAATTATTGTCATTGCACTTTGCGCTTAATTTGAGCGGCTACAAAAACACAAACACAACAACAACTCAAATTGTTGTATATAATTTAATGGCACATCTTAGGAGGAACGCCGCCAACAGCCGCTAAAAGTGTTGGGACAACTAACCCAGCCCCAAAGCACAAGACGTTAAAAGGCAACAAAATGCAGAGGCCAAGAAAAAGAAAAGTGTGTATAAAAAGAAAAACAATTAGCAAAATGATTTACACGCAGCCTCCCATGTCCAGCGACAACAACAAAGTCTTTTTTCAATTTTCCCAGTTTTCATATTGCTGCCTCTGTTTGGTTTATGTATATATATATATATATATAGATATTCATATACATATACAGATACATATATATATATATATGTATATGTTTTTTTGTGTATTTAACCAAATAATTATGACATCAAAACAAAGTACCGACGGCTCGTCGAAGAGTCGCTTAACACTTTGCCATGCCAAATGGCACTTTGACACCGCAGCCACTGGCCACTCAATTTAGTGGTGCTGCTGCTGGGTAATATTCTTGGGGTTGTGGTTGTGATTGAAGCTGCCAAGCCAAACAAGTAGTAAAGCCATTGGCCCGCCCAACAACTAAGTGCCCACTAATACATATGATTTTAAAATGTTACAAAAATATACTTTTTTTCGTGTTGTTTTTACATATGTATACCCTGTAATGCTGCTAAAGTGGGTGAATGTTTCAATTACTTACATTGCTTACTATGATTTTATATTCGATAATGTGTCGTTAAGATTTTTTCTTAATTTATTTACGTTTTGTAAATTTAAAAGAAAAATTACATTACCACAAAATATTGCTGAAGCTAAATTTTTATTTTTTTTTTTTATATATGTGAAACATTACAAATGATTAATGAATATATATGTTAAATATTCATATTCTTCACAAATATCATAAATACATTATATACTCTAGATATATAAATAAATAAATTAAATTTTGTTCAATTTTGAAATTACTCAGGACCTTTTTATTTGATTATTCCTTCTCAATTATCTGTTCTTCAATAATAATTATTTTAAAGAAACATTTATTTTCCGCTCTGGGAGAAGCCATTCCAAATTACTGATTAGAAGTTATAAAATGTTTTAACAATCTTAACTATGAATATTTAACATATAAATTGACTTTTTCTTAATTCTTGTGTCTATCTATTGTGGCCATTTTACATTAGCTGTCTGAATAGCTTTTTTGACCAGCTACAGACATAATATTTTAGAACCGAAACTTAATTTTATACCACAAATATAAAAGCTACATTTTGCATATTCAGTTATTTTTAATAGGGTATAACGCGTCCGCGTTGTTTTTGTTGTTGCTTAACGCTGTTTATATTGCTGTAAGGCCTGCGGCTGTTTATTTTCATTAATTGTTCTCATGAGAAAAACACAACAGCAACAAAAACAACAAGACCAACTACAGCAACATGCTCAGTCGAAGCTGTTGGCATGAAAAGTGTGACAAAGTGTTACGCATGCAAAGACGGCGTCGGCCAAAAGATACATTTTCCATGTTGATGTTGATGTTGCTGTTGTTTTTGTGGTTGTTGTTGTTGTTGCTGTTGCTGTTGCTGTTGTTGCTGTTGTTGCTGTTGTTGCACTGCTTAACTTGTTGGCTGGTTCAGTTGTCCGAGTCTGCTGCCCGCTGCGTGAATGATGGACTTTGTCTTTGTCTCCTGCAACTGCCAACTCTCTGATATGCACAGTTGTTGCGCCTCTGCCACTACCTTCTTCTCTCTCACTCTCACTCTGCTTATGTGTGTGTGTGTGTGTGTGTGTGTGTTGCATCCGTGTCGCATGCGAGTTGCATGTTTGTAGCTATGTAGCTGCCAAAGATACTTTTACTGCAAGTCTTTTGCATTTTGACTAATGACGCCGCCTCTCTCACTCTCAAGGCGTTTCTCCAATTTCTTTTTATGTTAATAACCAGCAAAGACCAATACTTAATTCTTGTTGTTGTTAATTGCTTGGCAATATGGGAACTGTGTTGTGCTATTGCTATTGATATTGCTATTGATATTGCTATTGCTATTGCTATTGATATTGCTGTCGTTGATGGTATTTCAGCTCAAGGTTAGTGTGATATCAAATCTCAGAGCTCTTTATGCAAATCTGTCAGCATAAGACAACAACGATATAAAACAATAAAATAGTAAACGCTATGTACATAAAATAATAGACGTTAAAAAAACAAATTGCAGCTATTTTTGGAGCCGCTAAGTAGCCAGAGACGCTAAGGTCGCAACTTAATCCTCAATGAGGTCTCCATGAAAATACCCAAAAACAACAAACTTACCCAAAGATGCATTGAATTTCTGCGTGTACGTGTGTGTATGTGTGTGTGTGTTCGTGTGTGTGTTTTTTGTTTAACTGTGGGTCAGGCCCAAGATCTCGCTGGTCCACTTGCCAAGCTAAACAAATTGGCGCCCATCTATCGAATTGTTAACACTCGAAGAGCAGAACTCCAAATGAAACTACGGAACCAGTCAGACACACAACTGCAACAACAACAGCAAATACAACAACAACAGCCAATACAACAACAACAACAACATGAGCAACCGGTTTGGCAAAACTTAATTAAAATAATATCAACATAACAATTTTTATTATTTCTTGCTGCCTTTCTTTCTTCCTCATATCGGGCTGTACGGCTTGAAGCTGTGTGCCAATATTCATTCATGGCAAATATCTTGAACGCGTCTCGATCTGTCTAAGGCGACTAAGATCGAGACTACTACATCTACCTAAATGCTATGCAAAATTATGCAGAGTGAAAGAAACAGGCAACAGACACAATCACACACACAGAAGATTTACTATACATATGAGTTTGCTATATATATATATATATATGAGTTTTACTGCAGTGCTAACTCACTAAGAAGAACTAGAGTTACAGAAATGAATTTTATAATATTAATATTTGCTGTTATAAGAGATTTTTTTATTTGTCCATCTTGAATATTAGCTTAAAATATAATTTGGTAGCACTAGCTAAGGTTGCTGAATGAAATCAATTAGTAAATTAGTAAAATTTTATTTTATAAGCAAGACTTCTTAGGGAAAAGTATATTTTCAATGGGAAAACATTTCAAATTGCAGTAGATTGGTATTTAAAAAAATGTTTAAATTGACTTGTAATTTATAAGATAATAAAATAATAATAATAAAATAATAATAAAATAAAAAAATTCGCAGTTAAGCTTTATTTTAAAATGCATTTTTAGCTTATAAATCGCAAACAGTTGTAATAAAAACAAAAAACGTAATTTGACCTCGATTCGTTAACCACACAAGCTATCAAAGCATCTTAGGCTATTTAGAAGAGTTTACTCCGAGCAGCGGCAGATCACCCAGTAGAGCTACTCCTATTAAGGCAAACTAAGAAAACAGTAGGACTTAGGCAAGCTGCACTGTTGTAAGCTAACTTAAAATGTAAATGTCTGTGGCACGAACAGCTACAACAACAACAACAACAACAACAACAACAGCAGCAGCAGCAAAAACAACAACATTGACTACAACAACATCTTGAACGTTAGCAGCTTCGCTTCATTTTTTCTTTTTTTTTTTGTTTTGTCGTTTTTTTTAAGGGAGTGTCAATTGTTAGCCAAGTTATTAAGCGCACAAGAAGAAGCTGATGCCGAGAGCTGGCCAAGATCAGAGCTTGGCGATTGAGAAGCCACCAGGCCAGGCCAGGCCGGGCCGGGCCAGGCCAGACCAGACCAGTTCGCCACGGTTGAGTTTTGCCCCAGAGCAGCGAACAAAAACAAAACAAAAACACACACACACACCTGGTTCGAGAGATGTGAATGATTCATGTGGCACTCGTATTCAGAAGATACAAATCTTTGATCGACTGTAAAAATTATTGACTGCGCCGCATAATTTTATGAATGAATGGAGCAACAACAAAAGGCAGCCACAGCACGCGCTGCCATTGTCCATGTATCTGTAGCTATAGCTGTAGCTGTATCTGTATCTGTATCTGTATCTGTATCTGTATCTGTATCTGTATCTGTATTTGTGCCTCTAGCTGTAGCTGTATTCGTATCTCTAGCTGTGTATGCTTGCAGCTTCAACGTAATTTCATTGCTGCCTCTGCTGCTGCTGCTGCTGCTGCTCGTCTCGTCTCGAGTGCACTTTGCCACGGAAATTATGCGTGAAATCAAATGTAAATAAAAAAGCAAAAGTGCCAAAACAGCAAACGCTGCTGGAGACCAGCATGAAGAGTAGTGTCTCTCACCGTGCGCCGCCAAGGATGGTGGAGCGGGGAGTTAAGTGAAGGGGTAGCCGACAACTGTCGGATACGCAGCGGCACGGTAGTTATTTTGGCGCATAGCTGCCTGTCAACACGAGTGCACTTGTAATGCAAATCAACGCGGTCAAGTCGAACAGCGACGCGACGCGAAGCGACGCAAGACGGCACTCAAAGATGACGCCACAGTTGCCACAAGATTCACTCAGTTACGGTTGACCACATGCACTGAACCAAATCACATTTTCAAAACGGATGGAAATGATTAACAAAAATAAATGTTAAAATTACATAATTTTATCGAAGCAAAATAAATTTCAAATATTTTCTTAGATAAAGATAGCTGCAGCACTATAGAAAACTTGGCTATTTTTATCTGCCACGAAAACATACAAATTACAGCTAAGATACACCTTTAGAATTTGTATAAATTATTAATTACAATTTTTACAATTCACTCGATAGACTCTTGATGTGGTATACATGTGGTATACACAATATTTTTGAGTCTGTGTGTGTTTAGTTATCTTAACCGTTATTCATTGTCATGTTCGAGTCAATAATGCTTTTTGTTCACTTTTATTATATGCCAAAAAAATGTGCTTAAATGTTTGTATTACGTCGTCTTGTGACAACGTTCATAATACGAATAAGCTCTCAGTGTAGCTGTAACTGGAGATGACAGTCTGTGTTGCCAGTCAAATCAACGGTGTTTGCCAAATTATAAGCCAAGTTTATGGTATATGAGCGGATTTTAATTGCGCTTGCGCAACTTTAAGCATTTGCTGCCATTTTCTGTAAATAAATATGTATGTTTTGTGCGGTGTTGGCCATTGCGTAAGGTCAATGCTTGACCCAATGCAATATGACCCACTTGCTTGGAGAGGTGGGCAGCTGTGGGAAAGCCACATGTTCTACTTCTCACTGGCGTCCACTTAAGCGTTTAATCGATTTTAATTTAATTGCTTAGCCGGGACAGTAGTGTGGGCGCAGTCGCAGCTGCTAAAAACGAAAGTCTTACAACAACAACAGCAACAACAGCAACAACGACAACAACAACAACAACAACAAGATGTTACTCAGACAATTTGTGGCAAATTAAATTGTTTGTGGTTCATAAATTGTTGTCAACTGCTGCGTGTTATGCAATTGAACAGCTGTCATGGCAAATCAATTAAAATTCAGGCCGAAAATCGACCTGAAATTTATGGTTTGCTCGATTTTTGATGGTCCGCCACCACCCGCTGCGACAGACTCTAAATCTGCAATTTTTTATGCTTTTTAACTAACAGGTCATAACGTATAAAAACTGGCATCAAGTGGTATTAAAACCGATCGGTTTACGTGCCTAATTAAGTTGAAGCTGTGAAAATGCAATTAATTGCCAGCTAGTGACTATTATAAAGTTTCACGAGCATTAGGAAGCAATATATTAACTAATCTGTAAGCAAAACGAACTTAATATGAGATTATCCCCACAGATCTATTTCACAAACAAGTATTATGTTTTTATCTAGGATCCTAATGATCTGAAAGATTTAATGAACTTTTTTTTTTTAGATTATCCTAATGATCTCTTCTATCAATTGAATTTTCCGAAATCTCCACGGAGAATCTTAAAAATCTTCAAGAAATTATTAAACAAATTTTAGTTAAAATAAGCTGCATGTCTTTAACATAGAAATGTACTTAAAATAAAATGCCAAAATAGCTTAAATATTCCATATATATTTGTAAAAACTCCACAATCTGAATAAAAGTTGACTAATCATTTTGTTGCATTTTTTTATTGCTTTCATTAGGCGGCGTAGCCCCTGGAACTCCATCAGCGGCCATGATCATGGAAGGGCTTGAAACCCTTGTGGCGCCAACGCATCACGCATTCCTGCTAACCGAATCGGCCGCTGCGGCCCATTTCAATGTGCTGAGCTTCGACACGTGCCTGTTCAAGACAAGCACGGCGCAGAGCAGCAGCCCGTCGGCAGCCAGTTATCTGAGTGCCGCACAATTTGGCGGGGGCAGTGGCGTCGGTCTCGGCCTCGGCGCCAGCTCATCTGCGGCTGCCAGCAGCAGCAGCACCAGCGGTCAAACATTGCTGCACTACACGACAGCAGCAGCAGCAACAAGTCACAATCACAACAACAACAACAACAACAACAGCAACAATAACAATAACTCGGTGCTGCGTGCACGCAATCAGACAGCCACACCCACACAGGGGGGCAGTCCAGGTAACGTGGCTGCTCAGCCAATTGCCGGCAGTGCAGCAGCCGCCAGCAGCGGACGCAGCTCAGCATCGCATCTCAGCCTGCTGAATACGAGCCAACATAGTCCCGTTACGGCCACAGAGCACGGCGTGGCCGTTGAGGCCAAACAGCTGATTGAGGCCTTGCCCGGTGATCTCAATACGCCGGTGACCACATCCAGCGATATACCCTCATTCTTTGGGCCATCGACAGTGGTGGAACCACCACCAATAACCGGTAAGTAAAGCGGCACAGAGATGACAGAATTTCGAAGGGGGTGCAGCAATAAAAACTATTTTCACGTGATTTGACTGAATCAAAGATATGTCTGCACCGAAGAAAGCTAACTTTCTGCAATCCTGCAACGATTCGTTCTACAAAAATAGCTTAGATATATTTTGATCAGAAACAAAATCATACAGATCAGCAGGTTGAATTACCTTTGCTGAGGGTAGTTCTTCTCATATATATTTAAAAAGACATAAAGACAAGCTAGATAAGAGAAAATGGTTTATAAAACTAGAACTGAATCAAAATCATAATATCAGCATCATACTAGAACTCTTAGTACTTACTCTTATATCAATTGCGTCGCCATAAGTTTTTTTCTCTTAGCCCAGAAAATGCCATTTAAATTCCATATGTTTGTGGAATATTCCACCCAACAGCCTGGTATAGTTAGGAGACCCTAAGCGTTAGAGTATCGAGTGGAACACTGAAACAGAGATACGTGTACTTTTTTCATTTGGCTTTCTTTATCTGAGCACTGCTAATGGATGCAGCTGCCACATGCTGCAGTTGCAGTCTCCCAAAGACTGCACAGACTCTAAATATGCAACTAATCCGTTGTCAGGCTTAAGTCTCCACATAAATCAGCCTCAGCCTCAGCCTCAGCATCAGCCGAGGCCAGAAAGCCAGCAAACAAACTGCAGTCTTTCAATTGCCCCTTCTCTTCCTAACTCTCTTTTCTTCGTCTGTCTTGGGCACTCATTCTTCGCAGAAAACAAGTTCAAAATCAAAAAACAAACATTCAAATATCAAGTACCAATTTTAATGAAATTTTTTTTTGGATTTTTTGGTTTTATTTTTATTTTTTTTCTTTAATTATGGGCCATGTTAAGAGCCGCTGAAGAGCTTGACATATATAAGTATGTATATATGTGCTTTTTATTACTTATTTTTCGACATGAGTTAAACAAATATTTGACATTTAATGGCTACGTCTCTATATGGACTCATTAATATACGTAGCCATAAAATTATTATTTATTAATTGCAAATAAACTCAATTGCTACGAGAAAAATATCTTGACAGCGACAGAGAGCGAGAGAAAGAGAGAGAGAGAGAAAACGAGGGATCTTCTAGAATGCACAATATGAGAAGAAAAAAGCACTTAATTAATCAACAACAACAACTATAATAATAATGCATAATAGCAACAACAGCAATGTGTTGTTGGCATATGTATTAAACATTTCCGTTCAGTGTCAATGTTTCGAGCGCAATTTACTCGGCTCGAGATACGATGCCGGACTCCAGACGATATCAACGATATAATACTACATATAGCACGGCGCATGACATATGCACAAAATGAAAAAAAAAAAAAAAAGAAAAAGAAAAGAAAAAAATAACAACACTCGCATACACATTTCTAATTGAATTAAGGCAAAGCAAATAACGTATACTAGATTTTCCAAGCGCTATCAAAAACAATTGAGTTTAATTGCTCGCGTCATATTTCTTTTTTCTTTTCTTTTCTTTTTCATTTTTGCAGTAATAAGAAAAATTCTTGCGCTCAGATTTTGTTTAAAAAGTTGACCAATTGAAAATGCATAAAATACATATTTAAGCTACAAGCATTATACATAAATATGTGTGTATACATAAGTATGTGCATACATTTAGTAGCTGAAATATCTAAAAATTGGACGAGTCGCGCCAAAAAATGTCACTCATAAATTTGGCGCAGTCGCCTGACAAGGGGACAAACCCACGCAAAACCCCAAGAAAAATCGTCGGCAAACAATTTTCCAAAAAAAAAAATAAAGAAACGCAAATAAATAAAGAACATACACAGAAAAAAGCAACAAAATAGAAAATATTTGCATGAGCAAGTGAGAAGCTGGAAGACGCGTATTTCTTTTCTAGTTGGCTGCTGGCAATGATAAAGCAGCTTTTAATCGCTAAACTTGGCAGTCGACTTATGTCCAAATTGGATGAGTTATGCATATGCCCAACTAGCCAAACGCCAAACGCCAAACAGCGGGTTAAGGGCGACAGCAAATAGACCAATTTTCCATTGTCTACTGTCTCCACAATGCTATCAAATTGCCAAAATAAACTATTTACGACTGCATTAATTATGTCCACAATAAATAAATATAATAATAATATATTGCACATGACTAACTCCCCGCATTGTAGCTCCTCTGCTCTGTGATATCGGCTGGCTGCAAAAAAAAAAAAAAAGAAAAAAAAAAAGAAAAAGAAATTCTCTGAATTCAAGCGCATGTCGAGATTGATGTCGCAGCACATTAGGCGCTATGCAACTCAATCAATACCCAAAGCGAACGGCTGTGGCATTAATGACTACGGCAATGATCATCATGATGTGCCTGTGTCCCAAAGCAAAAAGTCACAGGAAAAAAACAAAAAGAAAAACCGTCCACAGTCCACAGTCCCAACTCTGTATGCGAGCCCAGTGGTAGCCGCGTAATTAGTCTTCTGGCCGACACTTTTGCCTGCCTAGTGAAGGTCACGTGACAAAATGCACGATAAGCAGACCCCCACACAAATCATAAGCAAACCACTCCATTTATTATAGTTGAGAACTTTAGCAACATGAGTTGTTTACTAGACACATTCTTGCATTTAATATTCTTCACATAAGTTTGATGTTCTTTATGTGATCATTCTATTTATATCGTTTTAAAATCCACTATATTTCTATTCATTTTGGATATCCACTCTCCACTCATACCACATATATTTATATAATATATATAGTTTGCCATAAGCAAAAATTACTATTAGTCATTTGACCTCCATAGTTACTTAAAAATCTTTTGTGACTTGCAAACAAATTATAATTTGAGCCTTTTACTTCACAATAAATTATATGTGACGACCGTTAATGTATTATGAAATAATATGTTGAGACTTTCAATACACGTGATCACATTTCTATATTCAAATCCATGGTCACATTTTATGGAGTTTCCCAAGAGGAAATATTTTGAGGTTTCATCCTTACCATTTAACCTTAGTAATTTAAATTTGCAATACTTTATTTATAAATAGATACTATAAAGTGTCATGCCTTTCTGCTATCTTCGACTTTCACAATTAATTATAATTTGCACATCCAAAACGCATCTCGTGAGTTTTGTGGCATGTGAATTGTTTTGCACGAGAGTGTTTGCCCCATCACTGCCTGCAACTGCCGGCAACTGCCGGCAACTTGAACGGCAACGATGAGCGATGATGCCGACCTCCCGTGTCGTTCGATTTCCGCGAAATCAAATCGCGCCCAGCTGCAACAGCAGCAGCCCATATAACACTTACTACTTCCAATGCCACGGCCATTCAAGCGAACTGTGATTGATATCAGCCACAACAGACACAACAACAAAAAATGCAGGGAAAAAGAAACAAAAAACAGTGCAGACTTTATCAAGCTTTAAAGCTAAGCTACAACAACAGATAACCAAAAAAAAAAAAAAACAATGTTGACTAACGTTGAGCAAAATCTATTTTCACTCATTGCAGGCTCAATTGAATCGGAGGATCTGTCGCTGGAACAGCAGGTTGTGTCCGTTGCCAGTCCCGTGTTGTCCTCGTGCAGCCCATTGAAGGAGGAGCGCAGCACGCCACCCGCTTTGTCTATTGTCAAGGAAGAATCAAGTAATAATAGTTGTAACATGTACCCACTACACAACAACAACAACAACAGCCACCACACAATATCCACAACAAGCACATCAACAACAGCAACAACCACCGCCACAGCAACAACAACAATCAAACAAATAGCAAGCGATGCGAGCAACACTGAAAGCGTTCGCTCGCCCGCATCAACAACAACTGCTGCTGGCAGCAGCAGTAACAACAACAACACTCAACACTCACAACAACAACAACAACAACAGCTGCATCACAACAGCAACAACAACAACAGCCACTGTCAACACAGTCATCAACAGCAGCAGCAGCAGCATTTGAGCTCGCCGCAACACCAACAACAATACCAACTACAACAACAACAACACCAAATACTACACCAACAACAACAATTGCCACACCATCACCATCATCATCATCACCACCATCACAGTCACCAACAACATCAGCAACAACACCAACAACAGCAACACCAACAGCAGCAGCAACAACAACAACAACAACACCTACAACAACAGCAGCAACAACAGCAACACCAACAACAACAGCAACACTATCAACAACATGCACTACAACAACAACACCAACAACTGCCTGGCAAAATCTCATATCGCGGCATTTTCACCACCACAGGCAACAACAACAGCAACAACATGAGCGCCGCACAGCAACTACAACAGCAACAGCAACAGCAGCAGCAACAATTGTCATCACCACAGCTGAGCGTACTCCCAGGACCAATGTCTCCCCCATCGAATAGTCTGGGCAACAGTTGGGGTTTACCCAGTCCAGACAAGTCACTATTCCAGCCGCCCATGTTCAGTCTGCCCGCCCACTACGCCGTGCAACAACAACAACAGCAGCAGCAGCAACAACAACAACAGCAGGCTGCTGGTCCAACGCCCTCGCCATATGATGATGGGCGTGCGGCCGTCGCTGCTGCTCAGCACGCCGAGCTGCTCGGCCTGAGCATGGATTGTACGCCACTGCTGCTGAAGCAGGCACCACCAACATACTCCGGAGCAACAGTCTCAACAGCGGGCTTTGCCAGTCTCGCCGAGCTGCAGAGCAGCCACGATCAACTGCAGCAGCAGCAACAACAATATGCTGTGCGTTCGCAGTTATCTGTTGGCACACCCAAATATCAGTGGCTAGATACGCCAGCCGATTATGCAGCTGCCGCAGCTGTTGTACAACAGCAACAGCAGCAACAACAGCAACAACAACAACAGCAGCAGCAGCAACAACAGCAAACGCTAGTGTTGCCGGGACCCACCTCCTCGGCAAGCTCCAGCAATGCAGCGCTGGGTGTACTCATACCCAAGCAGGAAAACTATACCGATATGCAGCCAGGATCAAATGGCACGGGTTATTCAAGTGCTTCAGCGGCTGCTGCTGCCGCTGCAGCTGCTGCTGCCGTACAGCTGGCCGAGTATAGTCCATCGACGAGCAAGGGCCATGAGATACTCTCCCAAGTCTATCAGCAGAGCAGTGTGCCGTTAAAACTGGTGCCCGTCAAGCCACGCAAATATCCCAATCGCCCAAGTAAAACTCCCGTACATGAGCGTCCCTATGCGTGTCCTGTGGAGAACTGCGATCGGCGCTTCTCGCGCTCGGACGAACTAACGCGTCACATACGCATCCATACGGGACAGAAGCCATTCCAGTGTCGCATCTGCATGCGGAGCTTTAGTCGCAGCGATCATTTGACCACCCACATACGCACCCACACCGGCGAGAAGCCCTTCAGCTGCGACATCTGTGGCCGGAAATTTGCGAGATCCGATGAGAAGAAGCGACATGCCAAGGTCCATCTAAAGCAACGCATTAAGAAAGAGTCGAAACTAAGTCGCGAGCAGCATCAGCAACAACAGCAGCAGCAACAACAACAAGCAGCAGCAGCCGCCGCACAGCAACAACAATTGCAACAGCAGCAACAGCAGCAGCAGCAACAACAACAGCAACAACAGCAACATCAGCAACAACATCAACAATATCAACACCATCATTTGCTGCATGCCGCCGATTTGGCCATCGTTACATCGAGTGCGACCAGCATGTAGGCCGCCGAGAACTCAACGTCATCGATTGATTCCAGGACGACCGCCTATGAGCTGGGCCTCGATCTGAGCCTGGCCATTGACATTGATGGGAGTCCATTGCCATTTGATCTGACGTTGACCTCCGATTATGGCACACTGTCCCCAAAACTGAGTCCATTGCAGTTTCACTATGTGCTAGATAGCGAGGATTCGCAAAGTCAATGCCTTTAAATTGCAAGCAGATACAATAAGTGTTAAATATGCCGATATATTTAACCATCATTTATCCAAGCAGGAATCAATCGCTGATGCTGAATTTAAAACATAACAAATACAAGAACAACTAAAATATACAAAACACAAATAATTAGCTAATTTAGTTAGCATGTTGTAGCCGTAATTTTTGGGTTGTGCTAGCAGCAACATCTACGCAAGACATATATGTAAAACATAGCCTATGAACAAAAACAAAAAAAAAACTCAAGCAGCCGCACTAAAATACAAAACAAAACAAAACAAAACAAAGTTACTAACCCAACAAAGTCTAAAAGAAAAATTAAAAAATATTTAAAAACAAAATAATTAATCGTAATATTTACAAATATTTAACTTATGTCTCTAATACTGTGATCTCATGTGTAATAATTATTAATTTTAATTTCTTATAACTAAAAACAAATATAAAAGAGTTAATTTTTAATACAATTAAAATCTTTTTCAACTTTGCATAGCTAATGTTCATTTTAAAAGAAAATACAAAAACAAAAAAAGAGAGAAAACAAAACACAAAAATCTAACACAAGAAACTAATTTATTGCAGTTAAGCATTTTAAAGTCTATTATTAACTTATTTAGCATCTTAGTATTTAGGTTTTAACACACATACACACACAAAACAATACACACACTCGCACACCTATTAAAACAAGGTTAAGATGAAAATAAAAATAAAAAAACGTTAGCATATCATTTTTGATATAAGAATAAGAGTTAATTAAAAGCAGCCATTTTTGTGCATGTCATAAGTTTCAGAGCTTAAGTTGAATGTGTGTTAAGTAAGGAACAAATAATTGTGCAACAAATTATTATAATTAATCGATTAATTATAAATTACAATGTGAATCACGTGTTGAAAATGCCCCTTGTACTTCCTTAATTGATTCGAAATCAACGGCAACAAAAAATCTAAATCTAATTTAAACATTCATTTTAATTATGTTTTTGTATATGACAAAAATGTATATATATATATATATATATATAGACGATATCTTTTTTAGTTTTCTTAGTTTAAAATTGCTTTACACCTAAGTTGAAAACATTTTTTATAATTAGCTTATTTCATTTTCGAAAATATATAACAATTTTGAAAAACATTTATTTGTTTATTTTTCTTTATTCATTTATTATTTAGAAGAAAAAAAAACATACTCAATTTAATTTTCAGTTCTAAACAACCATTTATCCCACATATACATATACAAATATGTGTATATTTGAGCAGCTAACTCAGTCTTGAGCCGAGCGAATCATTTAGCCTTAAGATTCTAACGAACAAACTAGTTGGTTAAAAATTAGAAACTACATGGAACTCTAGTGCCACTTAAGCAACGATAGCTGAATAACGAATGAAACGATTGGTTTGCGCTACAAAGTGCTCTATTTTAAAATTACTCGTAAAATATTCCTGATACGGAGCATATTTTACATAGCCGCTGGTATGAGACACAAACTTAGATTTAGGATTTGAACGGAGCAAAAACTTCGGCGTATATTTCTATAAGGAATCGGTATTTAGTATAGAGTATTTCTCGGAGTGCATATTCAATAAAAATAATGAAAAACAAAAACAATTTTGATGTCTTACATGTACAAACTGATGGAAAATGAAAACAGGTCGAAACGAGCCTTCAACAGAAAAAAATTAAATATATTAAAATGAAATTTAAATGTGTGAAACTTATGTGCCATCTAATAAAAAAAAAAATTTAGAAATGTACCGTGAGCTGAAACATTTTTAGAAACGAGCTGAAGAGAAAATCAAAAATGTTTGCACAAAAAACAAACAAAAAAAAAAACCAAAAACTAAAAACAGAAAAAAAAAAACAGAAAACTAAAAATCATAAAAAATAATTAAAATTTGAAATTAAAAACGTTGTGATTTATATTGTTTATTCGATGCATGGTTCAATGTCAAAATAATTAATTCTTGTGTATTAAACAAACAAAACAAAACAAAACAAAAAAGTGCTAAGAAACTACAAATTATATAACCATTTATGCATATACATATAAAATTATTTATTGATGTTGCTTATGGACAGTTTTTCTTCCATACATATATATATATACACGTATTTGAATATATGTATGTATATTGTGTAAATTTCAAAAGTGAACAATTTGGATAAATGTATTTATTGATGCATTCTTAGCTAGCTAAAAATTATTTGTAGCTAAATGAGAGAGTAAATAAATATATAGTTCATATACAAATACAATTAGTTAAAATGCTCAAAAATGTTGCAGCTTGCAATTTAGTTTTTTTATAAATGTTGCATTGCAGTTGATTTTATGTGTGTGCTTTTCATATAGAACAGAAAATTAAATTAAAAAAAAAAACGAAAATAAAAAATTAAACGAAATGATCATTGATCATTGATCACATTCAACTTAGCTTAATTCGAATATTAATGTTTTTTCCATGTTTTAAGTGTGCACATGAAGTAAAGTTAAACGTACGAGTACAAGTACATTTCAAGACTAACAATAAGATCTCTCAATTCTCAACTCTAATTTTTAAAGACTGTCCCTGTGTTAAACTTAAGCATTCAGAAATCAGAATTTTAAGTGCGTTTAAGTGTTTCGTTCTATCGGTGGATAGCCCTTCACTATATACGTATATACGTATATATGTACATACATAACGGTACTATACATGTATGTATGTATGTATATCAACTCACTTGAACTTGTAGCTGTATCAGTTTTTTCTATCAACGATTCTTATACGATACTTACACATATATCCCTAGATCTAAGTTTATATTTTGTGTCGATATATATTACCATATAAACTCAAAATATACATACACATATAATGCGATAATAATAATAATATGCAAATTTGGCAAAAAAAAAAAAACAAACACAAACTTTTTGAACAAATAAACCACAAAAATTTCAAATTTATTTCGTGTCTTTCACTATGGCCCATATAAATTACAGCAACATACATTTCAATCAGCCATATCTATGCCATATAAAGCTCTGTCTATATTGCAGGTATGACCAATGAAATGCAGCGCTAATAAAAAGCGCAATAAAATTGAAAATAATAGCCAAAGCTAAAGTTGAAGCTGTAGACGATGACCAGCGCCAACTACAGCTCCAACTTCAGCTCCATCTCCATCTGCAGCTCCACATCGACGATATATGCCGGCACTCAAATCTAATGAAATGTTCCAAAGTCAAAACGATGCTGCACTCCAGTGGCAGCCACACGCGCACCAAAGTCGCCCAACCACCACCATCCACCCACCCCCGCTGCCCAACAGCCGGCAGCGACAGCGTCAGCGACAGAGACAGGCGCATGTCGGTTCAGAAATTCTTCAGTTTTGTTGAAGCCAACAAAGCAAAGACGAGCAGCCGACGCAACGTTACCTGCGACGTTACCTGGCCAAAGTTATGAGCGCAATTCTATCGTAAAAATGCCCGAGAAATGAAAGCAACTTCAAGTCAACAACGATTTCTAGATACCCTAAAAATGTTTAAGCTGACTTGATTGGTTAGAAAATGTAAATCATTACTAATCAAATTGGTAGATATTAAGGGCAACTCACCCCTCATGAGGGGTATTATTATTATTATCTTTTATTTTTGTCATATATATATTCAAATTCATTATATTAAAATTAACCAGTATTTTGTTTTTTAAACTTCACTTACAGCTCCATAAAACATATATATATATCTTTTCTAAAGAAGCTATCTAAATATGCCACAAACTAGTTCCCCATTTTAATTTAAAAAATAGCTCAACTTAAGTTAACTACTTAAGAAATTCGATTAATATAAAACCAACGAATATTATATATTTATTTTAGTCAACAGACTGCTTAAACTTATCACTTATTAAGATTTTTATTCAATTATCTCGAATCATAACAAAACAAAGTTTATTGAATGAAAATTAAATATATTAAAAAGCAACCCTATTTTCTCAAGTACATTGAAAAAATTCGTTCTCAAAAATTTGTGCGTATTTTTGGTGCCTTAAATAAATCAAAAAATGTTGCCTAATTTACTACGCAGTTTAGTTACTACACAACAGCGAGTGTATCGAAATGCAAAATGCTTTCACGGCAGCTTCCTTGGCCTGGTGAAGCCTAGCATTGCCCGGCCTGGCCTGGACCGACTTGGCCTGCCACAGTTAAGGTTCGACTTCGCTGCAAGCGAGAAACTAGAAATTCTTGTCTGCGCCGAGCAATCATCGCTGGGCGGGCAAAGAGTGGGGCTGAGAGAGCTGTAGCTGTTTGCAGTTTTTAGTTCGCTGCAGCTGAGACTGAGGCTGAGGCTGAGACTCTGGAGTAGCGTTTGTGATTTGTGTGCTTGCGGTACAATTTGAGCCCCGAGCTGTGGCTACCAATGGCCAGTTACCCAGTTAGACGGCCACGCTTATGACAGGCGCAAACAAAATTATTTGAGTCAGGAGCTCTACGAACCCATAGTGAGACAGAGACACAGAGAGAGGGAGAGGATAGAGAGAGAGTGCACCCGAGTAATCCTCGACTAAAAAACAGGTGATGAACTGTGTTGCAGTGGCATGTGCGGATGTCGTCTTAAGTGCGGCAATTTGACTTGTTTAGGTGTCTAGATGCCATTCAGCAGATATGATCGCACAAAAATTGATTTCGATTTGATAAGAGACAATTTTTTCAATATTTTTTTTTCCGTTTTTTGAAAAGCTTGTCGTTTGGTAGCGCCAAAATATGACCGACTGCTGCGATAAGAGATCGCAAAAAAAATATGTCGTTCAATGTGAGTGAAAATACTTTCCAGCATTTTATGTGGACAGAGCCACCCAACACAGAGGACTCCAACGTTTTTTTTTTCCCCCCGCCGATATCGCTATGCGAGGTGTCGCCAGTCACTGCCACTGATGAGTCTCTGCCAATACAGCCGAAGACAGTGGCGATTGCAGCAGCGTAAACCAGGAGAAACCGGCTGGTTTCCAGCCTCAAAAAAAAATGTCATGCAGGCAATCTCTTTTGGGCCTTGGCTTAATATCTTTGCTTAGCAGCTAATGAGTTGCCGTTAGTGATTTATTTTGTAAATGAATAGAATTGCTGGCATTTGCCAAGTTAACTTTGCATGCCACATGCAACACAAGGCACAATTTCATTATGCATTTCCCAAACAACAACAACAAGCACGACTTCAAAATGATACCCCCAAAATAAAGATAGTTTGAGCCACAAGACCATAT